GGGAAGAGTCGGTGCTTTTTGGCTGTGGGTGGGGTGGGTGGCTGGTGTGGTTCACGAGGGGGTCTCTCTGCGAAGCTAGCTCTCTTAGTGGAGAGAGATCAGATCTGGGTGGTTGTGTGTCATGTCAGTACGTAATTCGCTCTCGCTCTGTCTGTATAGACCTACCTGCTGCCTCGATGGATGCATCAAACAAGCATATTATGTCATGAGTTTTTTCGCCCTACCCGTGAGAAAGAGAGAGAGATCAATGCTGGCCCGCTGACGTGTGGGCGAAATGAGATGGATGGCCATGGGTGGGTGGATGGGAGACGAGAAGCAGAAAAGCAAGGCGAGAGTTTTTCGCGTTGTGTTTTCAAGATGACATGATCTGATGTATGGGAGATATATGAGATCAGGCGTTTTGACGAAGGAATGTGGAGTGGAATGTGGAGAGGCAGGCAAGGCAACGATTGCAGCGAGAGAGGTGGGGCATTGTGGGCCTTGGGTGTCTGTCTGTCTGCCTGCCTGGGTGATCGACTCTATTTGTGACTCTGCGCTGCTGTCTTCCTCTCTCCCTCCATTTTTCCTCCCCTTTGTGTGTGCGTGGGTGCGTGCCTGCCTGCCTGCCTGCCTGCCAGGCTGCCCGCCTCACGCATGACGCCCCCCTCCCTCTCTCTCTGCCTATCGCTCCCCTCTCCCCTTCTCCGCTCCGCTTGCCTCGCCTGATGGGTGTCTGTCTGTCTATCTGTCTTTGTGTGGGTTTATCAGTTTATCTATCGCAGAGGACAGATGACGTCATATGGATGACGTATGACTGACGACAATTGTGTGCGTGCTGTATCTCTGTATCATCGATAAATGCCACAGGCGATTGATTCAATGGATGGTAACAAAGGACCAGGATGTCCGTCATTAATATGGCCTACACCCGCGTACACACGCACGCACAGGCAGGCCCGCAGGCAGGCAGGCATGCATCTCTACAGGCAGGTGCACGCCCACAATGCACCCTTAATTGCTGTGTCATTCATTGTTGTGGACCGGCCCTTTACATATACCCTCACACCCACCCACCCTCCCCTCTCCACACCCCACCCACACCACCTACCCGTTATTAAGGCAGCAGCGCAAAAAGGAGTCAGGGTGTGTAGCGAGGGCCCGCCTACACCGCCCGTCTGTCTGTCTGTCTGTCTTGACTGTACAGGGAAACGGAAAAACGGCGGCGC